AACATGTGTTTTTGAAATATCTAGATTAAATAATGAAATTCGTGTTACACAAGATGAAAATCCTTCACGAGGTGTTCATAGCATTAACTCATTGAGTCCGGGCGACGCGAATTCGTGTCCTGATATTTGGTGACCTGAATGACTTTTAAAAAAAACCAATGTTTGTTGATTATTTAATAATATGAATTGCATGAAGATTTGTGTTAAGATTGTCTATAGTGACTTATGATTATTGGTTGTCTCTTAATTCTTTGAATATGAGATCAATTTTAGAACGAGAGACGGTTGACAGACAAACCGGTTCTATAAAAATTTTTTATTCGAGTCCCAACTAAACTATACCAAAAGAAAGAGTTCGGTGAATTGAGTACTTTTTATGATGGAACTTGGTCTTTCAAATGAAACTATGAAGAGTTCTGAGCATGATGACAACTAAAATGACTGAAATTTTGCAAGTTAGCTTACCAAAAACTCTTCACGATTTCATTTGAAAGACCAAGTTCTATCACAAGAAGTACTCAATTCACCGAGCTCTTCCATTTGGTATAATATAGTTGGGATTTCCAATCCAAAAAATTTCTATCAACGTTCCTCATCCTTTTTACTATATAAAAATAGCCCTAGACTCAATGGGATAACGAATGATTTCAACGATCACATAATTTTAGAATTGTCAATGAAATGTCTGATTGAATTATTTGTAACATATGATGTGTTCTCATTCGAATTAGCAAAACAGTAAAAATCTGTTACTAAAATATATTTTAATGTGATATATCAATTAAATAGTTAATTGATTCTTTGATCGAGTTAAGGTGAAGGCACGTTTCGAATTGAATTAATCTCTTCTTTTGAGAATTAAAATTTATATTTAATTTTAAAATTTCTCACAACATAAAATACTTTCTTATGCATTTCTATAGTTGATCGCATTTTACCTCTCATTGATCATTGTATAATAATAGAAGAAAATATCTAACGTGATAATTTTGGTAAATGTTCTATCATTAATAACCAATAATCTTGTTCATATTATTTATTCAATATTTGAAAATATTCTACAAAATATCTTTAACTCGTTAGAACCATTCGATGAAATAGCTGATATCTATTTTTTTTTAATCATTTGTTTCAAATATTTCCATAATTCATTATCTTGGAATACTGTTATTAAGTTATACCAATCAATAGTTATTATCGATAAGTGTGATCATATTAGGTAAGTTAACTATCATTTTCAGAGATTCCTGTCATCATATGGGTATAATATATTTTCTCAATGTTACAGATATAATATGAGAAAAACAATATTAACATTCTTCTGTCGTTGTATCAGGATGAATTATTAAATCTATTATATTATAGGAAATATGTTGAGATTATTTGTCAACTCATTACAATATGTATTGCTATACGGTGTTAACGTATACTGTAAAAATCAATACTGAATTTTCTAACAATGAACATTTATCATACCAATGATGTTGTACTTGTCAAAAATTACCTTAAAATTGTTTTAAGTTTTTATGAATCACGTCTTTTTTGTCCCACTATGCATCATCAATAGCTCTTTAAAAACAGATTTCCATATGGTTAAATTTTTTACATTTCGTAATGTGATTACAAGGTCATAGAAGTGAATAAATTCATCAAAAGAAAAGCGTGGCAGAAATAGTTGAATTTGCCATTTCCATTCAATAAATGTGATGAATAGATTGGTTTTTTTACTTCTTAATTAGATAATATTTTCATACAAAACTGATTAAATATTCAACTTTTACTTTCCAAACAACGTATTTTTACCTTTCGGTATAATTACACTTCCATCATGGGTGTGGGTGTGGGTGTGGATGTGTGGGTGTGGGTGTGGGCGTGTGGGTGTGGGTGTGGGTGTGTGGGTGTGGGTGTGGGTGTGTGGGTGTGGGTGTGGGTGGGTGTGGGTGTGGGTGGGTGTGGGTGTGGGTGTGGGTGTGGGTGGGTGTGGGTGTGGGTGGGTGTGGGTGGTGTGTGGTGTGTGGGTGCGGGTTTGGGTGTGGGTGTGGGTGGGTGTGGGTGTGAGTATGGATGTAGGGTGGGGGTGAGTGTGTGAGTGTGAGTATTCTCTTTACTTCCACTCAGGCACCCACGCCCCCACCCCTCACCCACATCCACACTCACACACCCACACGCCCACACCCACCTCCCACACCTAACTTGTGATTTTCATCATTGAATAGTACATGTATCCAACTGCTATCAGGGTAGTATACATGATATTACCATTTTAAGAGGATCAGGCTTCTTAGAATATGCACAAGAAGATGTACAAATTATTGCTAATAAAGGATTCATTTGCGAACAGTATGTTATTACTCCGCAGAAAAAGCATCGTGGCGATGAATTAACAACTGAAGACAAAGATTTTAATCGAACTATTTGCAACGCAAGAGCAGCTATTCAAAATATTAATCAACGTATTAAATAGTATACTATTTTTGGACATACTTACAGAGAATGTTATGATGACGTTCGTAAGAGTACTAAAATTGCGCATGTTGTTTGTGCTTTATGTAAACTTAACTTGGATAGACGTTCTATCCGTAATTATAGAACATAATACGTTGTCTATGGTTGGCGATCGTTTATTTTTAATAAAAATTGTTCAGTAGTTTTTATTATTTTTTTCGACAACAACTATGATCTACGGTGAATAAGTTCGATGAAGTTCATTTTATTAAAAGAGATTAGAAAGACAGTTGATTCTATTAGTTTTAGATATGATAAATAATCGAAATAATGATGAATCGCTAGCACTACACGAGTACTATAATTGATAAAAAAATCATAACATTCTGATGTACTATAGAACCTATATGTTAAAAAAACTAGTTGGGATATGCGGGCAAAATGATCATCCCCATATATATATAGATACAGGGTGATCAAAAAGTTCCTGGAACGGCCTTCGATTTGTCCTGTTTCACGTATTAGAAAACTTTCTCTCTTATATTTGAATAGTGCGAAGATTTGCCAACTGATTTATGAAATTGAGCATCCATTGTTTGGTTTTGCTAAATATAGAGGACGTTTTTTTCTACATGTTGTGTTTTTTAGATGAAAAAACACATATTCGGTACTATATCTTAAAGAAATTCAAATTTGACTTTACAGCAAAGCAAATTCATACGGAATTGTGTGATGCATCGGGTGAAAACTATGTGTTATACAGTACAGTTGCTGAGTGGGTGCAACGCTTTAAACAAGGAAGAACTTCATTAGAAGTTGATCCACAAATTGATCGATCTGTAATCTAAGTTACTGATCGAAATACTGAAGTCATTAACGGATAGAAAAATCCGCACATTAGTATTCGATACATGGTTTTTGAAGCTGGTCTGTCGTATTGTACTATTAGTACTACTATTCATGGTAAACTAAAATTAAGAAAGTTATGCGCAAAATGGGTACCATCTACATCAGCTAATGGAAAAATGCAAGCAACAACGACTTGAGATTTATCAAGAAAATCTTGCTAAATTGGAAATCAGCCAATGGTGATTGTGTGCCATGATTACAGAAGATGAAACATGGATTTATCATCGTGGTATTGGTTCATAAGAATCAAATAAGACTTGATGTTCTCAAGGTGCAAGTCCAACAACAGTGGCTAAGAAGAATCAATGCGATCAAAAAGACATGTTTGTAATCTTCTGTGGAAACACAAGGTCGGAGTTTATTCACATGATTGAATTCGGTAATTCAATATCTAGTGTTTACTACAAAGATAATAATCTGAAAACCTTTATTTAACAATATCAGACAACAAAGATCGAAGTCTGGTTTGCATGCCATCAAGATCTATCACGACAATGCAAGACCGCATCAAACAGAACGTATTAAAACATTTCTTCAAGAACAAGGAGTGACGATTATGGCTCATCCATCCTACTCACTCGACTTTTGGTAGTTAAGCTATCTAAAACGGCAATTAGGGGCAGTTATCCTGATTCCAAATCTTTGCAACAAGCTGTAATCGAGAAGATTCGCATCATACCACAGGATAAATTTTGAAAGACATTTCAATATTGGGTTGATCGAATGAAACTTTGTATAGCGAACAAGGAAGAGTACTTCAAGCGTTTGATGAAATAAATTTTTTTACAAATATCATTTATTTAATGAAAAAAAGTGGATGTTCCAAGAAATTTTTGATAACCCTGTATATAAAGATGATTGTATTTATCCCTTTGCAATAAAATTCATGATACCTGGTATTTCATAAGCAGGGATTTGTGATGGTAAGAAAAAGTCAACTTTGAACGGTGTCGGTGGCCATCGACTATCATAAACACGACGACATAGCCATACGCGTATCATTTTATCGACAATTAGTTCATTATTATTGTCGTTCCTGCTACTTTCAACATTTAGCATTTCAACATTGATAACAATATGTCGGTTATAGGTAGTACAGAAGAGATCATCGATCATCAAACCAAGTGAACCTAGAATAATATAACCATAGCCACGTTGCATCGAATGTTTATAATGCAAACCATAACGTCCCCAACAAAACCACCATCCACGAGCACGGCTCGGTCGTCCGGTGCTGCTAAAGAAATAATTAACAAAGCGTACCCATTCTTCACCCTCGATTCGTATTGCATAGCGAATAAATCCTGCAGCAACAATAGATGGTCGCATTCTCCCACAGTAACTAACACATGATATTATGCATGCACTAACAGCTAAAAATATGAATACCATTCCGAAAATGAGCCGAAGTGTAAATGCATTGCTGTTCGTTACTGCTCCGCCCATTATGATAAATAGGATGAAAAGTATTCATCAAGGATAGCCATAAATCTTTTGATACAGATTTTTTATTTTAAAACTACTTATACCAATGCGAACGTCTTTTATCGAATGTTCATTTGATAGATACTATTATAAAGACTATCATCACCAAAAGACAAAAACCACTTCGCAGACAAAGTTGATGATTGAGACGGTCACGAAGATCTTGTGCAATTGCAATATTCGAAGGATTGATAGCAACTGCTGTTGCTGCTCTCATGTTTATTGCAGCAAATTGCTCAGCCACACGTTCAGCTGCGGTTTTTCTAGGCAATGACATATCTTTCGGATCTATTTGAGTGGTTTCTGTATCGATCACTGGCATGTTAGAGAATGGAATTTGATAGTAGTCTGGTGGCGATGGATTCGATTCATTATTCATATTGCTTTATTATAAATATGTTGTTATGAGTAAGTACTAACTAGCTGAATGAACCACAGGATATTGTTGCTCACGTCTTCTTGAAATGGCACTCACAATCTCAATAGAGCTCGAAGAACAATTTAACTAAAGAAAAAGAAGACACGGCACTCACAGTGGACAAAAATTTGCTATTTGACGTTGTCTTAGTGTTATAACAATGCCGACAATATTTTTCTAGTTGTTTCATTCTATCGCAAATGATAAGATTGTGAAATTTGCTTAAGTCAAATGATAACAAAATAAATATAAGACTATGACTCCTTGCATACGCTTACTAAAAGACTCAATATGAAAACAGGGTGGGTGTGGGTGCGGATGTGGGTGCAGGTGGAGTGTGGGTGTAGATGTGGAGTGTGGATGCGGGTGTGGGTGTGGGTGTAGGTACAAGTGTGGAGGTGGATGTAAGTAGGATTCGAGTGTGAGTGTTCTCTTGATTCACTACCATACCCACACCCCACATCTCTTGAGAATTTAGATCAATTATGTGATAGCATAATTTTTACCTTTTACCTTCCAACGGTTTCAGGAGAGTCACTGATAAAATACCTATTGAAATAGAGTATTGTCCTCTCCTGTAAGCCAATACTATAAGCAGATCAGACAGGTGTGCTTCTCCTGTTTGTACGATAATTGGGCAACTCCAGTTGCCATTGGGGATAGCAATATGCAAATTTTTTTAAAATCTTCTGCGAGTAGCTAGTTGATTTTGCAAAAATATAGTAATTTTTTTTTAAATTCAATAATACTGATAATGAAAAAACCAACACAAAAAAGAATTTTCCTTTTTTCTCTATAACACAAGTATTTTTGAAATGACTTTTGTATGTACATAAAATTCGTTTTCCTCAAAACAATTAAATCATCAAGTCAAGGAGATAATTATTGGGTCATTCTTCTTCAACTTCTAATATGATACGATTTTAAAAGAATTAGGGTTTAGATGTGAGTGTGGTTTGGATCTCTTCTTGTCCGACATCGGCACAAACACTTGCCAACACCTACATCAAATATTTATATAACAACAAATGATGCTTGTACTTATAAATAAGAGCAGTCTGTTAATTTATACATGCGTAAATATTAACAAGTCTTGCCTTTAGATAAGAATTTCTAAATCTTTTTTTCATGTCATTATCGTCTTCTTCCAGGGACGTGATTCAAATAAATTGATTTCGATGTAACTCCCGAGTGAGTTTGACCGCCGTCAATGCGCTTTAAAAACTCTTTGACCTTACCATTACATAGCCTTCAATTCATTGTTCGTCAATTGTAAAAATCAGCTTTCTAGATCCATGTTTTGAATTTGAACAATTTTTCTTGTCAAAATTCTTCATTTTTTGGGTTTCACTAGATGTGCACTTCTTTTTATTCCTTGCTTCATTCCATTTCTATTTTAATTTGAATTTTTTCTATAATATGTATCATGCGATAGAAAAGAAGGCGCTGCACGATGAGATATCTTTCAATTGAAATATGCTATGAAAAAAGTCTGCATTTCGACAAGTACACATGTGCTAAGTCAAATCATCAATAAACCTACTTTTTCTCCGCTATAGTCAAATCAAAATTTACTTTCAAATATCTCACTGGAAAGAGCATTTAAAACTGTACAAGATAGACTATTCAATTAGTTTTTAAAAAAGATGTACTACTTTGAACGCGGTGAAATTCCATATATTGGCCGGAATGGGATTCACCGGTTTGTTCTATCGCGGCGAATGTGTTAATTATCACTTGTAACTTGGTCGAATTGGTACAAACATGTCAATTGGCCTCAAGCTACATTATTATATCTTGAACCATTAATTCCTTTATATGATCTTTTTACAACATCATTTATGTGACAAATAGTTGTCTTTACGATAATATGGTATTTTCTCATTGGTTTTGATATAACGGCTGGTAATCATCATTTATTTGCTCATCGTTCTTATGAAGCTAAATTACCATTACAATATTTCTTATTTGTATCAGATGATACAGATTTTGATCTATGTAGTGCACATAAAGGAATGTTTTATTCTCATATTGGTTGATCATGAACTTTTATCTGATTATCGTAATGCACTTCAATAAGGGTGTGGGTGGGTGTGGGTGTGGGGTGGGGTGTGGGTGTGGGTGTGGG